AAAGAAGCCTTTCTTGATCGGCACAGGTAAACCTGGTTTCACGAGGCATACCTGTGCCGATCAAGAAAGGCTTCTTTGTCGGCGCGGCGCGTCCAGACTGCCCCGATCTGCCGACAAACAGCTGATCGGCAGAGCCGGGCAGCCATTTAAATTTAAATGAAGCCGCGATTATTTTAATCGCGCTTCATTTCCCTCTGCCGATCTGGCTAATCTACATGCCTCCGTCGACGGAGGCATGTAGTTTAGACGTACCCAGGCAGTGGTGTTGAGGCGCTAATGAACCCAATTGCTCTGCAATGCAGCCAGATGGGGCCAAAGATATAATGGAGGATAAAGTGGTAGATGCTATGGCACTGGAAAACTCCTGAAGTAATGGAGAGTCAGGAACTGAGTGCCAAAGCAAGTCTGACACTGATGTCACCAATGTGGAGACAAACACAGGTGCCAATATTACCAGTATGGCCTTAACAGACACCCCAGGGTCCGAATCAACAGGAAAGTCTTGCGCTGATCTCAGTGTAGTACCAGGGATCGGCTCCATCCCACATGTTGGAAAGAGTTCAGTGCTGGTCAGCACTCTGAGAAGAGGAGGAAGAGCCTCCTTGAGTGCTAGTGTGCTTCCAATTAATCTTATGAGATATCTGAGAGAAGAAACAGGTGACCCAGGAGCGGATGGGGTAAACAGAACCACTTTATTGCCTATGCACGTTTACTTCATTCGCTCTTGGGTCGCCTATTTCTTGTCTAACATCTGGAGCCCAATGTGGGACATTGGCACAGGATGCTGCAGGTTCAATGAGACCACGCTGCTCCAAGATTTCTTTGGCAGTGGAAAGGTCCTGTACAGCAGCCCAAGAGATAAGATATTGTCTGACCACAGGAGAGGTCCCCCCGCCCTCGAATCTCACTGAGGTTTGGAGCTGACCAGCATCCAAGCTATCGCTTACCCAGCCACTCGGACATTGTGTTCAATATCCAAGGTAAACATGAGTAGACAATAAAGCGGTTCCGTTTACTCCATCTGCTCCTGGGTCGCCTGTTTCTTCTCTAACAATATCTTCCTTGCTGCACTAAAGAAGGAATAATGACTCCTCTTTCTCTTGGGGGAATAACCAGAATCCAAATGTGGAGCAGCATCACTTGCTGGTCATGAAAGCAACCACCAATAAGACAAGGGATCTCAATCGGCCTCTTGGTCTTCTTCAGAAGGTGCTGCTTTGCACATAATATCTCTTTCATCCTAATCCTTTTTATGAATGACTTACAGATGGAGTACCATTCCTCAATGTGTACCTCAACTAGATACAAAAGCACCTCCCGTGGAGATCACTATTAAGGAGGGCCCTCCTACATGACGGACAATGTTTGAATTCTGGTGAAGGCAACACACAGGGAATCCCACTACTTAAATACTTTAATAGCACTAAATTTAACCTAAGGGACTACTAACTACTGTGCAAAGGAAAATCTTTCAGTTAGCACTAAATTTAACCTAAGGGACTACTATGCAAAGGAAAATCTTTCAGATAAATGACACTGAAAATAGAAGAGAACACACTATACAGGGCTCTGGCTCTAGCCCTGGGTGAGGGGAAGGAACTGAGGTAGCTTGGGGCAGTACCATCATTATATAGCCAGGAGAGAGAGTAGGGCGATAAGATACGAGCATCACTCCTACAGATACCATCCATAGGCAAAGTTCTCCAGCATCAGCGCACTGAGCATGCACACGCCTACATGGAATTCACAGACACATCTACTCAAAGAACCATCCTATTAGCCTTCAAGTGCTCACAAATGGATTGTTTAATAATTTGGTTCAAGTATCTTTCCAGGTATCCAAGGTTGGATGATAGGCCTATAAGACCTTTCTTCTTCTTTGTTCCCTTTTCCAGGTATCCAAGGTTGGATGATAGGCCTATAAGATGATAGGCCTATATTTTAAAGAAAGGTACTAAATTTGCCCTTCTCCAGTCTTTTGGGACTTCACCTGTCCTTCATGAGTTCTCAAAGACAACTGTTAACAGTTCCAAGATTACTTCATCTGGTTCTGTAAGTACCTTAGGATCAATTTCAGCAAGGACCTTCCAACTTGAATGCATGTAACTTATATAAATAGTCTTTAACCTATTCTTTCCCCATTTTAGGTAGCATTTTTTCCTCCTTTCCCCTTATTAATATTAATTGTTTTGAGTTTCTGGTCATCATTAACCCTTTTAGTGAAGACTGAAGCAAACTAGGCATTAATACTTTCTTGATGTCATCAGTTATTAGCATTCCTTCTCCACTAAATAGTGGGCCTACACTTTCCTTTGCCTTTTTCTTGCTCTTAATGCATCCATAGAAATTTATATTTCTCCTTAGAAAGTTGTCCATATTTCCACTTTTTGCAGGATTCCTTTTTAATTTTCAGGTCACTAAAACTCCTGATGGAGCCATGCTGACCTCTTACTATTCTTGCCATTTTTCTTTCACATTGGGACAGTTTGCTGATGCAAATAAGGTATGGTTTCACAGAACGCCTGCTTCATTCACCGAATGTTTAAGCTGTACAATGACTGAAGCAAGAATGAATAGTAGGCCATGGTGCAGTTAGAAATTATTTAACACATACATTTAGAGAAACACTACAAAGTTGCATGAACAACCTTAATTTTGTATTTCCTGACTTGAGTTCTTTACTCTGCAGACTTACCAGTACACAAAGTTTTGTTTTATTAAATGGAATTCCCTAGATTATGTTAAAAGAAAAACAAAACACGATGCTACGAGGAACTATTTGCAGACAAAATTAATACACTGTCTGCCACATAGGGTGAGCAGTCAGCAAGCCAAAGGTTCCTGTTGATTATGTATATACACTTCACCTGAAGCATAGCTCTTACAAACCTTGTATCAACATTTGAATTCTTGTGCGTCCACAGGGGACTAGTTCCTGGTCATACATATGAAGACAGCCTCTGCCCCAAAGAGCACTATGTACTGTACTTGTAATGAAATAGAGTCTGTTGTTCCTTAAAAACTTCAGTAACTTACCCCAAACATCTGTCGGAGATCTGGGTCCCGGAAGCGGAAGGGAATGTTAGAGACATGAAGCCGCTTTGGAGTGGACTTGCTCTCCGTATTCTCACTGCTTTGTGTCTGTGTCTGCTGTCCGTCTGTCTGTGCCCCTCCTTCTGTCTGCTGAAATCAAAGAGTGACAAAGGGAGGAATGAAGAGAAATCATACAAATTCCAACCAACCCTTATCAGATTGTCTCTGTCAAGGTATTTATACTACACTTGTAACTGTGCTACAGTAATTGGAAAAAAAATGCAGCAAACAATTGATCTTTTGTTCTCTCTCTCCTTTCCATGAGCAAATAGTAAGAGGATCATAGTCTTCATTCTGGCCCCCCTTCCCCAATATAATCTTTTAGCTTAGTAAGTTTTTCTCTTCTTTTCTTTCCCTTGGCTTTTCTTCCCTCTTGTTACCAAAGGAAAGCTACAGTGAAGAGGTGGGTCTTCTTTTTTGTCCTAATGCTGTAAAGTAATAATATCATTCTAATCTCTTATGGCAGCGTGTTCATGCAACGATCAAAATCCTATGACTGAGGTGCAACTTTCTAATAGACTGATGTTGGTAGTGCATCCCCAGGCAAAACTGCATTTTTTCCGCTGCGTTCCATTCTCACAGGTACTGCCTCCAAATAGGACCTGCACTAAACTGGTCACAAGCAATGGCTATGTATTCTTATGTTTAATTTATTTTATAGCTAATTGAAAATCTCCCCCAAGAAATTAAACAAGTATCCATTTTTAGGTCCTACAAAAGACTTGAAGAACTACACCCCTTTCTGGCTTTGCAGCCAAAATATATGTGCTGCCCCTAACCCTGTTTTGCATCATAGATGATGTGGAGGCACAAATGAAGATGTCTTGGTAGGAGGCTTTGACATTGAAATTGAAAGAGCCAGGTTTATTTAATCTCCAATTGAATCTCTCTTCCAGGAGATTCCTCAAACTGTGTCATGACTTTGTTAACCCCAGCATGGGGGAACCCACCCCTTACTCTGAAACCTGAAAAATGCACTCATGGACTCATGACTGCCAGCAGTAGAATGGTGAAATTGATAATAATCTGATCAGTTTTATTGCTGTGTCCCTTTCCAACAGCTGTGATTGGTATGCCAGGATAATCTCTAGAGTGCCTATTCACCCCTTCTTTTGTCATCTGTCTCAGATGAAGGTTTAATTCTTTGGCTGGATGTCTAGTAAATTTCTTAAACCCTGCTTCATTGTCTCACATGGTGAGGGCTTACTGCTCTCTTTCATTCACAGCAATAGTGACAAGTTATTGTGTGGGAAATCAAAGGGCTAACAAAGATTTTTTTCAGCCTATTTTAGGCTTGCAAGGACATATCCAGGGTCTAACAGTTTAAAAACAATCATGTGTTTTGATTCTGCTGGACTTTATATTTTGTCTACCAAATGTGCAAAGAAATACTCCCAGGAGACTTAAGCAAAGACTTGATTCCCCCACCACTGACTGGATTTACCTGGAGTGTGCTACACATTATGCAGCAAGGATTTGGGAGCCTCCAAGGATATGTCTACACTAGGAATGTCAACGTGTAATCGACTATACAATTAACCAATAAGCTTAGATTTATCAGTTAATCTTGTTGACTACACTCATTCCCCCACCCTTGCTGCTTCACAGTGCTGCCTGCTCACACCCTGCACTGCTGTCAATCAGAGACAGCAGTGGAGGGGTTGGGGGGTAGGGGAGGCAGCTCCGCCTCCCGCAGAGCAGCCTCTGTCCATGGCAAGCCTTGTTCCACCATGGACAGAGGCTGGTCCCCAGCAGCAATCCCTGTCCGCAGGGTGTCTGAGTGCTCCACAGACAGGCAAGGTGGAGCAGCCTCTGTCCCCAGGGAGCGTGGGCCTCCTGCACACAGGGGCTGCTCCTAGGCAGCTTGTCTGTGCAGGGAGCTGGTTTTAAACGGTCTCCCCTCATGGACCGGCTCCTGCCTGCCATCCCATGCTGCTGACTCTGATACAGAGTCAGCAGCAGGGGGCAGCAGCAACTCCTGTCCACAGGGGACCCAAGCTCCCCACAGACTGAGGCTGTGCCAGCAATTCCACCTGTCCTCCCTCCCCGAGAGCTGAGCCGGATCCACTGGCTACCGCCTTAGCCTCCAGGGACTATAAAAAATAGTCGAGTAACCGATAAAAAGTAGTGCGGTTACTTGGCTATTCAATTACCCAATAGCTAACATCCATAGTCTACACCAGTGTTACCCAAATGGTGTTCCGTGGAACCCTGGGGTTCCGCGAAGTGAAAATAAGGGTTCTGCGAGAAAATGCCACTACAATAACATTTTATGATTAAAATTTTTTTTCTACACATTAAATGTGATTTTTTTTAAATATGTGCAATTAAACTAAATGTTGATCTCATGACCTTAGTTAGCATTTGTTTATTATTATCCTTACTTATTTGTGGTCTACTTTTTCTGCTCCATATATAAGACTGTTCCACAAAATTCTTTCGAGTTTAAAAGGATTCTGTTGCCAAATAAAATTGGGAAACACTGGTCTACACAGCAAAGAAAAACCCATGGCTGGCCTGTGCCAGCCAACTTGGGCTCAGGATAGGGGCTCTTTCACAGCATTGTAGACTTCTAGGGTGGGCATGGATCCCCAGGCTCTAAGACCATGTGGTTGTCTGGCCAGTTGAGTGTGGCTAGTTCGCAATAGAAGTAGCTATTATAGTGGCTACTGCTTCAAAACTGGTCAGACACCATGACTCTAGAAGCCTGAAAGGTGGGAGGGTCCTAGAGCTTATGCCCAGGAACCTACACAGTAACACCCCCGCAGCGCCAAAGCTGGTACAGGCCACCCATGGGTTTTTCTTTGCTCTACAAAGTCCCCAAAACCTGAAAAGAAGTGTCTCTCCACTGCTATTCAACACGGGCAGCAATATCACTGAAATTCACTCCACCACAAGTCTCTCTCTTTGACATACATTTGAATTATATAAGACTAACAATAGCATGTTAATAGCGAGCACTGTGGCCTCGGCATGCCGATCAAAGCAATGGCAGCTTTCCATTTTGCTTCACTTAGGCAATGCAGGCAGTACAAATGAGTTCGATCTATTGGTATAGACTAGCACTGAGGGGGGCAGCGGAATGGCATGGGAATGCAAGCATCTCTATTCACGAGTTGCCATAAAGAAGACAGCATAGCAATATGAGCCTCACACACACTGGACAAAGTACACCATTTCCAATCATCCACAATTTACCCATCCCCAAATATCAGCCACAGAACATCCTGACAGATACCATATCTAAAATGTACCACTTTCAGAGGCTTTTCCCTTCCCTTACTCCGTGACAAAATGCATCTCCAAACACATATGTGGTGCACTCTAGGGGAAAAATCAATGAAGCCAGCTTGTGATTAAATCACACCATGCTATCTGGCAGTTTTATTTTTATGACTCATCAGAGCCCTCTGGTCCCCAGGGCAAATCTGTCCAAGGCAAAGGACAGAACACATGGCAGCTCATCCATCACCAGTGCAAACAGTGCCCAGTAATTAGTACTCCAAAACAACCCCCAGAAATCATTAACTTCCCCAGCATTACTGAGTTTTGAAGGGATTCTCTCTTCAGCCAGGTTTTAGGCATGTCTGGGGGTCCCACCAATGCAAATTTCCTAACTTTGAGCTTCTTACAAGAGATGGTAAATGTTGCAAGTAGACACACACAATGTTCCCTCTAATTTTTTCCATCCATGTGCAGAGTAAATTTTATTATGCGCGCCACCGGTAGAAACATATGCTGTTGGCTATGGGTGCTCTTTTAATCAGCTGCGTGGTATCTGAATCCCTTCTGGGAGGCAGGCCAAAGGCTCAGCTTATAGGGAACACTGGACACATACACCATGTGATAGGCAGATACCCTCTGTCCATCCCTTCCAAGCATGAAAGGGTAGACTCTCTAAAGTGAGGTATGTCAGCACAAGTTTAAGGACTCTGAACAACTTCTGATGTAATCTGCCAAAGAATAGGTCTGTTGGAAACCAGGCATGGAAACCAGGAGGCTGTGAAGTAGTGGACATGAGGAGAATATAAACATTCTTAGATGCAGGAACTCATATCTTACTAAACCTGTACTGCGTCATACAGCAACCTATTCAAAAATCCCTCAACAGGTGTGTCTGCATATGGCAGGATGCTGCTGCCATATAAGAGATAATATTTCACAACACATTAGCTTTGTATAGTGAGATAAGGCTTCAAACAGGGGAGACAAGAGGTCTTCTGTCAAACCTTAACTTGACTATGATGAGACTCTCTAAGTTCAGAGACAGGTAACACTAAAGGGCACATTCTTCTACATGAAATCAATAGTTTCCTGCTAATGTCAGATACGTTCTCTCTGAAAGTTATAAATTGCACAGGCAAGGGAATGTGCTCATCAGACTAATGAGTCTTTTCCAGTTCTAATATCTGTGGCCTTAAAGTGAGGTTCACTCTTTCAACCAGCATGAAATTGGCTTGATACATTTGTCTATTGCCATATATTCAGTTGCCAATACAAATGGAAGAAATTATTTTCTAAGGTCTCGGTCTTGTTTTATTGGTCATTGCTTGACTTAATTCATCAGGAGATAAAAGCAAAAGGCCTAAGATTTCTTCAGAGGCAGCATTTCATGGAGACTGGTGGGAAAAATTACCCTGAGTCACATAATTAAAAAAAACCCACATGCTTCACAAACCAAATTTCTCCTCCCCACACCACCTTTCATTCTGGCCTGACAGCAATATCTGGCCCCAAACTACACCAGTCTGTTCTGAAACAGCCAGTGAACATGCAATTCTACAGAATGCTCACTCAAATTAGGATCTCAGTTCAGATTTTCGAGAAGCAGCGGATCTATACTGCTTGAGCCAACAATGAATATTTATCTGCCTGGGTGTGTAGACATAGGGGGAGTAGACAAAGGGAGACTGACAACAGCAAAGATCAACCAGCACAGAACTAAAAATACAAAGTACAATTTGTTTCTCTCTCTCTCACATTTGCTTCTTCAGAACTGGAAGTTATCTACTATATATTTAAGAGTGTTTGTCTGTGTGTGTGTGCTTGTTCAAGAACTCTTCCTAAATGGTAAGAGCTAGGACCACGAA